AGATTTTGTTTTTTATGCTGCTTTTGGGTTTACGCCTTTCGCATAATAGTCTCCCCCTATACCCTCTATACCTGTTCGCGACGATTGCCCACTCACGTAAAATTCCAATTTACCAGATTTTATCACCCTTAGCACTTTGAAGGGGACCTACAGTGGGTTGAATACGTAGGAAAAAGTAAAAAAAAATGCCGAAAAATTATAGCCTCTTCTAAGGGTACCAACAAACCGCACCAATAACTCTATCGACGGTCATAGATTACATTCCTTCTGGATCCTAAAGGGCTCTCCATACATTCACCATTCCCGGCATATTTCCACTTCCTTGCACAAGGCGAAGCAAAGCGGTTGTTTGAATCGAGTGATTCTCATATTGCAATGTGGACTACACACACACACGCACCCACACAAACACACACACACAGACACACACACACACACACACACACACACACACACACACACACACACACACACACACACACACACACACACACACACACACACACACACACACACACACACACACACACACACACACACACACACACACACACACACACACACACACACACACACACACACACACACACACACACACACACACACACACACACACACACACACACACACACACACACACACACACACACACACACACACACACACACACACACACACACACACACACACTGGAAACTGTAAGGGAAGAGATCTTTAGGAATGTCTGCACCACTTTCAAACTGGAAAAGTATTTTCCTCATTAATCTTCTGGCATTGTCGCCGTTGTTCTGTTCCTGTAGGGTGCATATGAGAATATGCAGCTGATGCACTTTGTAAAATGTCGACATTTTTCTAATAAGTTGCATTGTGTTTGATGTGATTGTGTTGGCAGTGAAAGGAATGTCTGGAGAATGACTTTGAGAAAGAGAAGTTGCAATAAGCTTTTCAAAATGAAGTTACCTAAACTGACAGCTAGAGCTAGAAAAACGAGTTGCAGAGGGAAAGCTGTCATTCGTTTAAACAGGGCTGGAAAATATAATTTCAATGAAAGATTTTGCGTCGGGTAAAACGATCATGTCATTGATTCAACTTTGTCTTATAGTGCGTTCAGACTATAGCTGATATCATGTAATATAGACTTATATCTTGAAATGAGAACTCATACATAGGATTTCCAGTGAAAACTAGATGTACGAGTGCTCATTGCAAGATAGCCTATATTACATGATATTAGCCATAGTTTTCCGGGATATTAATCGATGTTCTTCCTAATTCGATGAACTTATAGAGTTAGGTGGGGCAAAAGTTCAAGCTTAGTTAAAAATAGTAAGATATCTCAATCTTCAAGCATTTGAAATCAAACTAAAAACAGGATCACTCAATCAAGGCTCACAACTTTCTCTTTCAGAGTTTTGAATTTTCAGTTCATTCGTATAGAACGATGTTTTCGGAAGAGTTTTCAGAACAAAGAATAAAGAAGAAAAATTATCTCTTCACTCTAGAGTTGTTGTTTTGTTCTACGCCTCCAAAGTTGGCACAAATGTAATAAAAAAATTTACCGTAACTCTTCAAAACATCTAATTTTTGTGATATTTTTTTTTAGGAAACTCAGGCTCTAAAAGACCTTCCAAACAAGTTTTTTTATGAGATTTTTAGCCATAAGCTAGTTGATCTCAGATTCCAAACAAGAGTCAGAACATTAAGTTCACGGCCTTTGAAACCCTTAAAGCGAACTTTTGCCCCACTTAGTCTATAGTCCCATCATCATCGAGTTAGAGAGAGCTGACTGTACATTTATTTGTTCGGGATAAGATATTTCGTCCAATCGTCAAAACGAAGGTGGCGGTTTTTCTGGATAACCGGGATAGGGTACCTTCGTTGGAACCGTGGATATTCGGGTTTGGCTAGGTGGAATTCAAACTCGAGCAAAATTTGGTCGAATGTGAGTGACAACAGCTCCATCTATGAGTGGTCGTGGTTTTAAGAAAACTGAGTAGACGGAGCTCGGGTTTTGGGATTCTAGGGTCGCGTAGGGTTATTTAATCTGAATATATATGACGAGGTTCGCTTGGCTGTCAAATGGGGAGGTGTTTCCATTTTTTCTAAGTATTTGTATTTATTTGGTTTTTCAAATTAACTAGGGGAAATGACGGCTTCGGCATGACAGACTATTTTCGGCAACCCAAATTGAAACACTATTTTCACTGGATTTTCTTACGAAAACACTTCGCTGAATGCATACAAACGATTCTTTATGCTTTCAGCTTCAATTTGACTATATTTTTACCACTGAGAAAAAGCAATCTACCAAGGTTTTCTTGAAATGCAACACACGCACTACAAATTGTAGCTGATTTTGAGTTGCCGATAATAGAACAGCAGATTTACATGCAGTTCAAATGGAACGGTTGCCGAAGAAAAACTGGTTGCCGACAATACTCGCTCTCACTAGAGAAGATTGGAGCTTTGTAAAAGCGTTTCAAAACAGTTTTTGACAAATCTTTCGACTGAAATTGTTAGAGCAGGTGGCAGCAAAAGATTGTAAACAAACCAATACTGCATTTGTGTGCGTTCCTTAGATAAAAAGGCTATAGAAAGAACGTCGCTGCTTAGGTTGCCGAAAATACGTAAATTCCCCTACAACATTTAGGACATCAAAATACGTCAGAGACGCAAAGGTTAATTTTCAAGAAAATTTTCATTTCAAATGAAAATGCATTAATTTTTTTTTAAACAATGTTTCATCAATTCTAGGCTGAATAATACCAATAGAATCTCATAATTTAAGGGTGTTTTATTATGTTCACTAATTACTCAGAATTTATACTTTACATAAATAACTGAAGATAATACCATGTTATTAAAAAAAAAAATCAAAGATTACAAACGATACTCCTTTAGCTCAGCCGGTAAACACGCAGCTACTAAGTAAGTCCATGCTGAAGGCGACTGAGAAAGTAGGATGGTACAGGCATAGAAAGCTCTCAATTAAAATGTGAAAGTACTTCAAAGAACACTAAGTTGAGAGCAGACAAATATCTAATATGCTATAAGCAATAAGCTTGAAATGCTATGTAGTAGTATACAAATGCTATTATTAGGCAATTAAAACAGTTTTTTTTGCCGCGGATTAGTATTTGAAGTCGTGGATTTCTTTTGAGAAATCGCGGATTTCGCGGATCCAATTTAGAAAATCTTGTAACAGCCCTGAACTTATCATCCTGAAGCATGGCCAGAATATCCAGAGAACATTATGCAGGTATTTGCTCAATTGAAGGTCTTTGGAATAATTGCATCTGTGGACTTCAGAAATGTTCAAAATGCTTCACTCAAACTCTGTGTATTTCACGAGTTTTGAAAACCTTTTTAAAAAATTTAGCAAACATCAGAAATATTCAATGATTGTCAGAACATCAGAAATATTCAATGATTGTCAGATATGATATGCAAACCGTTCAGAAGCTTATAGAACTGCTGAAGTCGATGTTTTGTGATTTTTTGAGTCCAAGTTTATGCCAGGATGGATTACAAAAAATGTTTTTGCACGTGAATTTTCTTTTCTTAGAAAAAAATGTGTTTTTACAGGGAAAATGTCGGCCAAACATGTTTACCCCAATACATTTTTATACAAAACATATTTTTTTTATCCCGTCTGAAACTATAACCTCATTATGGCTCATCAACACCGCCAAGCACTTCTCACTACACCAACTGAACGAGCAGAGAAAAGCAAAACCCGGCAACTTTACAGCTTTTATCGTGATTCTGCACATGTGAATCCATAGCGACGACGATGTATTGTGTGGTGGAAAATCATCATATTACTCCAGGGCATAAATAGTGGTTGTTTGAAAGCAGCAAAGTACCATATAGTTCTTTCTATTCCGGTTGCAGCATAGCGGTTGCGGAACGGAGTATCCTTCAAATCCTTTCCTTCATTCGTTGGTAATAGTGCTACTGCTGCTAAGCCGTGTTGTATGGAAAACAGTGACGCCGGTTTGGCCTGCAGGCCATCGATAACGTTGCAGATTTACTTGCTCTGCCGGTTTCATGATGGAATTATACGATCGCATCTTCTAAATCACACAAGTGTTCAAGAGCTCATTGATTTTTCATAACAATAACAATTCATTCGATTTAGACTAAGACTCAGTTCAAATGCCTCATTACCAAGCTATTTGATCCATTCTATCACCGTACACAGCTCCAATCGCACATAAGCACTTAATCCAGCTTTGGTTAGAAAAGAATGCCTACGTATTTATTTCCTGCATTTTGAACCCCTTGCGGCTTGGATTTTGCCATACTCTTGTTTATCCTGCTGTAACCATATATACCCGTTTTCCCTACTGCACAACATTTTCAAATGATGAGAGGATTCTTTGCATAGCTCTTGGTTCGGTTGGGGTGCCTTGCGGAGGAATCCCCACACTGGTTAATCCTCTTTAATTCAAAGTACAGTCCCGCCCCCTAGGAGCTAGTACTTTTTGCATTCGACTTACCGCGTATACTTGTCATTATATGGAAATTATCCACCCGACTGTGCTCTTTAACGGATTTGCATTATTCATCATTTTATCATAGCTCACTCCCATCCATAGCACGTGTCGTCGTCCGGATGGAGTAGCATGTTGATATATCAAGAGTGGTTCTTTTCACGGATTTAAAAAAGTCGCAAACAGTGCGAGCGGAGGGGGACTTGTTCCATTGTATGTTCAGTTTATTTTTCGTTTTTTGCCTAAATGCACCAACCTCCACCATTCGAGTGCCAGGTTGCTTTTCTGGTTTTCAAATAAAACCCACGTTATTATTTGACCTCTTTTCGTTTCTATTCATACCAGTGAGCGGCAAAAGCTGGTCCTATCCATTTTTTAACCCATACTTCCAGCGAATCTGAAATTTGGTAAATGTAAACATATAAAAAAATTACACATCTTAAATCATAACGTTGTTTCGAACTTACCTTTTTCTTTGTGCTCACTCGGATTGTGCGTTGGAAGTCAACCGCCGGTCAGCGCCCACAAAGAAACCAACCAAAGCCCGCACCAAGCAGCCAAAAGCGTCCAAGAAAGTGAAATTCATCAGTAAGTATAATGCCGTGATTGTTGTTGTTTTTTTCGTATTAGTTTATTTTCCTGATAACTGTTGTTTGTTTCAACTCAGCGAAATTAAAAGAACAAATTCCGATTAGATTCATCGATGATTGTCGATTTTTCTACAGATATGTAAGATGCTTCGTACGAAGCTGCAATCCAGCTCAATTCCCCACAAATACACTGAAGATTGGATCAAGGCATTGCAAAACAGAGGGATGCAAATTTTCTAATATACACTAATTCTAAATAAAAGGGCTGGATCACCAATTTGTTTTTTTTTGTTCAATAAAATTACTTTCAGGATTACGATATGAATTCCTATTCAGAATACAAAAAAAAAACATGATTTCCAGTACCCAATAATATTGAAATAATGTAAATTGAGAGAACTTTGAGATGGTTATCAGGCGGATAGTAACTCTCCGGATATCTGGATAGTGAAAATTTAAATTTGTTCGCCCTCTAACAGTTTTCATTTTTATTGTTCAAAATATTTGTCAAATAGTTTGTTTTTAGATGCCCATGTCACGTGATATGAAACTGTTGATCTGTTAATTTCCAAAATTTATCAAAATTTGAAAATCAAAATATCCGGATAATCCGGCCCCAGCACTACTAAATTTTAGTTTTGGGGCTCTATTCTACCATAATATTTCATGTTTTGTATACAACAATTATCTATTGATCCTATGAAAAAAATAACATTCACGTATCCAGGATCTTGATTTGCTTTTATTATTATTTATCTATGATAATTTGGACTCCTTGGACTCCTCCCTTGATTTTTTTTTTATTTCCCCAAGAATTTTTCATTTCTGAATTCTTCTAAAGTTATCTTGGGATTCTCTCTGATATTCTCTCAAAAATTGGCTCTAAATTCTCCAAGAATTCATTCCAGAAAATCTTTAATTCCCGAGAATTCAAATAAATATCTGTCTGTAGTTCCCATGGATTATTGCTCATTTCAATATAATCCTAGAATCAGAGTTTCTATAAAATTAACCGTCAGAATTCAATTCCCATAGAACGCTGCACAAAATTTCTTTGGATTATGCTGAGAATTTGAAAATTCTTGAAAATCCTCTATTTTCCTTAAAAATATCATCAGAACTCAATTTCCTTGAAATTCTGTTGATAATTATCTTCAGAATTCTTTTCTGAAATTCTGACCCTCAGAATTATAGTTCGCTGAAATTATTCTTGGAATTGTCTTAGAACTATCCTCAATTTTTTGTACTGTCATCTGAATTTGTTTTGAATTTTCCTCAGAATCCTCTTGATCCAGAAATTTCTTGAATTTTTCCTCCAAACTCCTTTGGAAATATTCTCAGAACACGATTCTCTTGCGGTTTTCCTCATAATACCTTTTAACTACCCTTAGACTTTCGATTTCCTTGAGATTCTTCTCGGAATTCCCTTGAAACTCTCCACAGAATTCCTCTAGGCATATCCTCAGAACTAGATTCCCTTACAATTTTCCTCATAATTCCTTTTTGACTAACAACAGAATTCGATTTCCTTGGAAATTCCCTTAGGAAAAACTCCCCCCAGAATTACCTTGCAATGATCCCAGAAATGTTTTGCAATTTTTTGCAAACTCTCCTCAGAGTTCATCAGGATTGGATTCTCTTAGAAACGGTCCACACAATTTCCATTTACATTGGGAATTTGAAATTTCTTCAGCATCCTCTATTCTCCTTGTAAATAACATCACAACTCAATTTCCTTGAAATTCTGCTGAGAATTATCTTCATCTTCAGAATTCTTTTTTAACAACCCTCCAGATTCTATTTCACTGAAATTATTCTTGGAATTGTCTTAGAACTATCCTCAAAATTATTTGTACTATCATCAGAATTTGTTTTGAATTTTCCTCTTGCTCCAGAAATTTCTTGAAATTTTCCTCCAAATTCCTTTCATATCCTCAGAACACGATTCCCTTTCATTTGTTCTCATAATACCTTTTTAACTACCCTCAGAATTAGATTTCCTTGAGATTCTTCTCAGAATTTCCTTGAAACTCTTCACAGTATTCTTTTTTTAATTGTCTTCAGAATTCCCTTCGAACTATCCTCAGATTCCCTCTGCTCCAGAAATGCCTCTCAGGCCATTTTAATTCGAAGTTAAAAGTGACGGATCGAAATTTATCGAACGACCCTGCTATCTGAGCGTCGAAAAGATCGATTTTGTCTGCTGACTTCCGGTCGATCTTCAACATAGGTATTTTCGAACATTAAAAATAGCTTTCGAAATGTCACTTTTTTCTTTGGAACTATCCTCGTTTAATGCCCCAAGAAATCTCCCTAGAATTCCTTTTAATGTATCTTCCAAATTCAAAATTTTCATCAAAATCCCTCTGGCATTTCTTTTAAAATAAATTCAAAATTCTATTGAAAACTCTCCTCTGAAAGAACCTGCAGTTTTCCTCACATTTTTCTTGGAATACTTCTGAAAATTAAATTTTCATTTTTCTTGAAAAATTTGAAATCAGAGGCGTCGCGTGCCTCATATGTTTACCTGTGCACCAAACTTTGTTCGTTATAGTTTACCACCACATACCTATTAGTTTATTTTTTTTTTTATTTTTCAATGCTCCATGAATTCGAGGGACATATTCTCAATTACTATATTAATCACTACCTAACGTAACATTTAAAGGGCCTATTATTATATTGTGTAAACAAAATTTGTATGGCCCTTTTTGCGCCAAACGAAGTAGGAGAAATTGCAACACTAAATAATTCTCGTTTGTATAACAAGGCTAACTCTTTCGACTGAAGTGTAATAAGGAATATCCGTCAAACTCTTCCGAGAACATTTTTTGATACAAAACAGTGTCTAAATCAAGAGTAAATTCATAAAGTCCCCTGGGTAACAAACTTGAATTAATCAACTCTTTATTCATCAGAATAACACTATCAGAATGAACCAGAGAAGCTCATAAGTTTTGACAGGCGCAACGCGCAACCATCGGTAATTGAGAGATTTACAACTGACAAGAGAGTGAGAGCGAACTTTTGCACTCTCTTTCTCCATTACTCTCTTTGCCTGCAATCAGTGCACAGCGAGAAATGCACGCTTTATGGGGTGTTTACATCTGTGCGGATTTACTCGCGCTAGTGTACTCCCCAACTAGCACGAATTTCAGTTGCACCTGAAATCCCATGCTGGTTGACGCTGATGCCATGTTTACATTATGCTGGCGAGCGTTTTTGCTAGCGGCTCATTATCGCTAGTGAACCAGCCTAAGTATAAACACCACATTAGGCACCTATACATCACAAATGTTCTTCTAATTTAAACTCACACACTCAATCCGGTCTGCAAGTATGATACACGTCCAAAACGTACCAGACTGCTGTTTCCGTGTTGCTCCCGTTTGACGCGTGACTGCTGAAAGTTTCAATTTCAATTAGTGGTGCAAACCACCATGTATTGTGGAAAATTTGTGGTATGTTTCAAGAGGCGATAGAAGGTCATCAGGCATTTAACCATTCACAAACTTGACACCCACCACCCAAAAAAGCTCGCTTTTAGGTGCACTATTTAACGAGTTTTGTCATGGTAGTGATATCGACATGCTTAGAAATCAATGCGTTAGGGATTAGGCATACCATCCAAACTGAATTTAATCCTTTTTGAATTAAACCAAGGTCGAAGATTTAATTGAACCACACTATAAAATATTGTATTCATGGTCACATGTGGTCTGGAGTAAGAAGTACAGCTATAATGTGACCATAAAATCTATAAAAATCTAAACGCATTTTGTTCATTTTGTCGTGCACAGGTTGCACATGTGGACGCGACGCCACTGTTTCCCTTGGGATTCTCCTTAAAATGCCCTGTGAGCTTTGCCGGCTTATTAAATCCTTGTTGTTGATAGTCAACATGGGTAAGTTAGAATTAAATCTGAAATATAATAAGTTAAGAATGGCACACAAAGCTTGTTGAGTTATGATCAAGGTTGAACAGATAAGAGGTCTTAAAAGTTAGGTCCAGAGGCCTTATTGTTCATCTACAGAAACCTAACGGGCTTTGTTTAATGGGCTTTCGGGTCAACTCCAGATAATTCCACAGTCCGTAAGCTTTAATTTCAAAGACCTTATATGAGGGGGTTAGAAGGAAAGGAGTGTAAGTGACTTTGATTAACTGAAAACACATTCCTTGATTCGTGTGCTATTCTGGATGCTAGATGAGAACCACCTTTATCAAACTATGTGGCAGAAATAGCGCAAAAGCTGTTTATAAAGCGGTGGCTATCAAAAGAGAAAGTCGATGAAGGGAATCGAGCAAAGTCACTATATCCAGAACCCATGTAGGTCAGCTTTAGATATCTGCAGAGACCTTCTGGGTTAACTTCAGACAGCTTATAGGTGAACTACGGATGGGTAATCCATGAAAAAACTGTATTAATTCCGAAATGTCTATTCTAGGCATCAATTCAAAACAAATTGTAAACAAAGCCAGTAGATCAAGTTCAGAGATACGTGAACTTCAAACGGCTTCAATGCTTAATCCAGAGGTCTCCTTGGGTCAGCTAGTTAGTACAAGGTCCTTCAAATCCAAGTCCAAAGCCATCCTAGATGGCCTCTTTTCCTGGTCCGGTCTAAGAATTTTTTGGGTTGGAAAATTTGTCGATTTTTCTGGGTAATACACAGCCAAAAATTAATTTTAATATCACATCGAAGTGTGTGTGGAGATTTTTAGTACTTCCTACCACCGGAACAGCGCCATCTCTTGTGGAAATGACGTGACGATATGATTAATTACTCTAAGGGTGCTTTAAGCTCGTCAAAACTCAGTCAGAGATTTTCAAGGGTAAGCTTTTAAGTCTTCATGTTAATTCAAAGGTTTTTAAAAGCAAGAAATGAGGACTTGAAAATGATAAAACACAAGTTCAGAGATCCTTAAGAGATATCCACGGTTCAAGGTGTTTTTAGGGGACTTCCGATAAATACAAACGAAAAGCCTAAAGATTTCTAGAG